TTTGGTAAAAAGAAAACATGTAGTATCTAAATGCCAAGCCAGGGGGAATCAGAACTTGGAACATCAACCTTGATGAGCTGAAATCTTATATTCATGGTGGATGATACACTCTGAAGATAGATGACATGAAAAATATGCACAACTGTGTATCACAGAGACATAGACAGACCTCCAACATAGTATCATAAGAAACAACAGGGAAACTCAGGACAAAGTTCACATCATCAGTGTCCTTTGACTCCCTTCATATGGATAAAACACCCCAAACAACTACAGCCTATTCAAGCAATTCAACACTATAAAATTTCCAGGAGTAGTCCACATATTTCAAGGTTTCTTCAGGTAAAGAAACCCAAACAGAACCATCCACTGATTCATATATAATATAGACACACACACTGTATTAAAAGCTTTTAACTAAAGAAAGCTCAAAACTGCAAATTCAAACTTTCAAAGAAGACATTTTAATATTTCTACCTCACGCAAAGCTCAAGGTAATACAATTAATTTAGGGAGTAAGAAAATTCACAACCTAATAATCCAACAATTAATCTAGGGTTTAGGACTAACCTGTAGGTTTGTGATGGGGAATCCAACGGTGGAAGAGTAGGGAGGAGGAGATGGCGGTAGAGGAGGGAAGAGGTGTAGGTTGAGAGCGACGCTGACGGGAGACGGCGGCGCAGCTGACCGCGGAGGGCTTCTGTGTTGTCGACGGCGACGTGGACTCAGCGACGGCGACTGCGGAGAGCTTCTCTGTTGTCGACTTCCACCCAGGCTCAGCGACGGCGACTGTGGAGAGCTTCTCTATTGTCGACTTCCACCCAGGCTCAGCGACGGCGACTGCGGAGAGTGGCGGTCGGCGGAGTTTGATGGAGTTGTATCTGAACGAGTTGTTGTCTGATATGAGAGGGAAATTTTGTCTGTGCGAGTTGTTGTCTGATCGGAGAGTGGCGGTCGGCGGAGTTGTTGTGCGAATTTTTGTCTTAGAGGGAAAGACAAAAATTTCATTCCCAATTTTGTTTTAGAGGGAAATTTTGTCTTAGAGGGAAATTTTATCTTAGCTTAGAGGGAAATTTTGTAACAAAATTTTAGTTTAATTAATTACTTGGGTCGCTACATCCGGTTAATTAAAATAGTTCCGGGTATATAGGTACAAAACACGAGATTCATAGATTTCTATAATGTAGTTAGATTCATAATAATTTCTATATAGTATATTTCTAATTTAAATACAGTTGTATAGATTAATAATTTCTATACAGTAAATTCATAATTTCTATACTGCAGATTCATAATTTCTGTATTGTTGATTGATAATTTCTAAACTGTATAGTTATCAACAATTGGAAATATGCATTTCAATTCAAAAATTATGAATATATAGTTTGGTATTTATGAACATAAAGCTAATTAAGATCGCGGCAAAAGAAATGGGATATAGCTAACTGTACAGCATCGATCAACTACTCTTTCATATTCATTCTCAATGTGTCCCAGGCATGCCGGAAGGGTCGATTACCAACATATAGCTAACCTTGTTAGTCATGCGCTAGCCGGAAGGGTCGATTACCAACATAGCTAACCATGTTAGTCATGCGCTAGTCGGAAGGGTCGATTACCAACATATAGCTAACATTGACAGTCACTAGCCGGAAGGGTCGATTACCAACATATAGCTAACCTTGTTAGTCATGCGCTAGCCAGAAGAGTCGATTACCAACCTCGGCCCCTATCATACCGCCCGTAACCCTACACATCATACCGCACCATTATTGTTTTTTATACTTGATAATTATTATTGTTTTTTAATTCCTAGATTGGTCTTAATTGTAATATAATTAAAAATAAAACTTTAATAATGAATTATTTTGAAATTTTGGTGAATAATTTTATATATTTAAATATGAACGAAAATAGAACTATTAAATTAACTTTTGAATTGTATTCTTTCTTTGTTAAATTATAGGTAAAAGATAAGGTGTAACACTTTAATACATAAGAGTTGGTGTGGCTTGGTGGATTTAGTTTTGTTTGTTATGTTATGTTAAAGGTCTTGGGTTCTATCCTTCGTGGTGGTATTCTTAACCTATTTTATACAATCATTGTCTTGGTTCTTAAAGACAACACATAAACAAACTGGTAATATACTAGATGTTGCACTCAAGTACACAAGTGTTGGTGTGTCTTGGTGGATTTAGTTTAGTTTACTATGTTAGAGGTCTCAAGTTTTATTCTTTTTGGGGGGAATTCTTCAACTATTTTCTAAAATTGTTGTTTTGGTTTTCACAAACAAAACAGAAGGAACCCAGTTATATACCAGATGTTGCACCTTTAGAAATAAGAGTTGTTGTTGCTTAGTTGGTTAGACTGCTTGCTTGTTAAGTTTGAGGTCATAGGTTCGACTCTTGTTGTTAACATCCTAGTTTTTATTTTATATACCTGTTAAATAATAATGCGCAAAGACAACAGAATTTTTAAAATCGTTGTCTTTGTAGTGTTGTGTATTTAAATACGCTTAAAGACAACATACCAAAGACAACGGTTAAATAAAACCGTTGTCTTAAACAAATAAAGAACACGCAACGACAACGGTTATATAAAACCGTTGTCGTTATAGTGTTGTGTATTCGAGTGCGCTTAACGACAACACACCAACGACAACGGTTAAATAAAACCGTTGTCTTTTTTTAAAAAAAGAGCACACAAAGACAACGGTTGTTTACAACCGTTGTCTATCTAGTGTTGTGTATTCCATTGCGCTTAAAGACAACACACCAACGACAACAGTTAAAAAAACCGTTGTCTTATTTAAAAAAAAACGCACATAGACAACGGTTTTAAAAAACCGTTGTCGTTGTGGTGTTGTCTTTTCACAAAATACACAAAGACAACACACTTATAACAACGGTTAAGTAAAAACCGTTGTCTTTGACAAAAGTGTTGCATCAAAGACAATAGTTTTGGACTAAACTGTTGTCTTTTATACAAAAGACAACACTTTTCTTAAAAACTGTTGTCTTTCTAATGTTGTCTATGTGCATTTTTCTTATAGTGATATGAAAATGAAGTCACACTGACACTCAGGGAGAGTGTCAGGGTGAGCCCAGGTCTTCACTGTAAAATGCATATTTCTTCATCTTCTTTGTTCATTTGGGTCCCCGGGTTATGTCATGATAATTACACCTCGCTCTTTTTCACTTTATCGACCTCTCATGACACTTGAAACACGCCATTAAGCCAAGATGACTTCAAAACACATTCAATTGAGCTCCAATTTACATGATGTTACAGTCAATGCCTCCAATTCACCTAAATGACACAAAGAGATCATATGAGTTTGATATCAATTATGCACATAAAAGTACTAAGAATTACATGCTTATCAATATTTGAATGAAAATTTTAATCAATTTTGTAAAGTCTTGGAAATATTTGTTTTCTACAAAATTAAAACTTATGTGAGACATTGAAAAGTATATATGCTTCATTATAAAGTATTAACAAAAAATTACTTTCTTTTATCTGTTTTAAGTGAGATGATTTGTTAAACTGCAGTTTGAATTTAGAATCTTCATTCCAAGTTACTTTCTAATCTTCCAAAAAAGCAGTTTGAATTTGGAATCTTCAACGCCGCTAAGGACGAACACGATTCCGGCTCTAATTCTACAAATGATCAAATCAGAATCGGAATCTTATAGCAAAATTTCGATTTTAGTTCATGAACAGACGATTTCGGTTAGAACCATCAGTTCTAACCAAATTTATTTAAAAAAAAAAAAAAACCTATGCTTTTTATTTTTTGTCCTCTTGGCGCAAAGGCCAAAGACCAAAGACGGTCTTTGGTCTTTGGCCTTTGCGCCAGACCAGACGTGAGACTTCAAGTCTCACGTCCCACTCTGCCCACTGCCCACTGCCCAATGTGGCAGACGGCAGTATGAGCTATTAATTTTTTTTTTTTTTAATTTTTTTTCCAGTTCCAAACTGGAATCGTCTATCCGCGGTTCCGATTTCTTAATTATAAATGGGTAATTCTATTTACACCACCTATTTTACTATTTGCACCACTACTTAGTAGGTCAAATAGTTTTATAGGTGGTGTAAATGCCAGCATTAAATATGGTCAAAGATTTTTATTTATTTATTTATTTATTTTAATTACAAAAAAAAAAAAAAAAAAAAAAAACTCCATCTAGTCACCTTCTCCGGTGAGAGAAGGCAGGGACTGCCTTCTCACCGGAGAAGGCAACTGGGCTGCCTTCTCCGGTGAGAAGGCAACCCAATGGGTTATTTAAAAAAAAAAAAAAAAAAAAAAAGATCCGTCACCTTCTCCGGTGAGAAGGCGATGGACTGCCTTCTCACCGAAGAAGGCAAATGGGTTGTCTTCTCCGGCGAGAAGGCAACCCACTGGGCTGCCTTCTCGCCTGAGAAGGCAGCCCAGTTGCCTTCTCCGGTGAGAAGGCAGTCCGTCGCCTTCTCACCGGAGAAGGCGATGGTGTGTTCTTCGTTTTTTTTTTTTTTTTTTTTTTTTTTTTTTTTTAAGAATTAAATTTTGAACTCATAAATGCAGTTTTAATAGGGTGGTACAAAATAGCATTTTGACCACCCATTAGGCTATTTGCACTACCCATATATTTATTACAATTTACCACCTTTTTACATTTTCAATGATACTTTATACCCTATTTGGTCAAAGGGGGTGCAAATAGCAACACCCTTATAAAAACTTAACTGGAATCTTATTGGTTCCGGTTACGATTCAGTTAGCACAATACCTGTTACAATTCGATTCGAACTTTCAGTTCTAACCAAAACGTGATCACCCTAAACGTCGCAGAATGCATGTTTTGTCAAACTGCCTTTTTGGAATATTATCAGTCAAAGGCCGTTTTATGACTCGTTCATGGTATATATGTTTGTTCTAGCGACTAGCATATAGTCATCACCCAACACGCAGCTAACGTTGAAGATCAGAGTAGTGTTTGCCAATGTTACAGTAATATAAAATTGATGGTTAATTTATTGATATACTGAATAAACATACATTAGGAATACATGAAGGATATGGTGTTCATATGCTACTAAACTCTTTATTCATTATTTCAAGTAGAAAAACATAGAGAAAATTAATGTAAAAAATACATAGCAAATTGAAGAATAAGCCGCTCAGAGTTTACTGAGGCAAACGGTATGTTGGAATAGCCATCAAAGGTTTGTCTCTGCTTATTACAAGACCGAATGATTCAGTCATGTCTAGGTCTTCTGGTAGCATCTTATTTGGTAGAGTCCAGTCAAAGCAATGCACTAATTGTGCCACCACATGTCGAACTACGGTAATTCCAAGTTGTAAGCCGGGACAACTTCTCCTCCCTGAACCAAACGGGATTAACTCAAAATCTCTACCTCTATAGTCAACACGATTTTTACTAAACCTTTCTGGATTGAACTTTTCTGGGTTGCTCCACACATTCGGATCACGTCCAATTGCCCAAGCATTCACCATTACTCTTGTGTTTTTAGGTACATGAAAGTCATCAACTACACAATCATCCATTGCTATATGAGGGAGAAGTAACGGCACCACTGGGTGAAGCCTGAGTGATTCTTTTACCACCATTTCTAGATATTCCAAGCCTTCAAGATCTGCCTCCTCCACCATCCTATCATACCCAACTTTTTCAGCTACTTCATCCCTCACTTTCTTCATTATTTCAGGATGTCTAAAAAGTTCAGACATGGTCCATTCTATTACCGTGGAAGATGTGTCCATTGAAGTTACAAGTATATCCTACAACACAATTAAAACAACCAAAATTAATATATATATATACATGTGTAAATGGATGATGGAATAGAATTAGATATATATAGATAGTTACATACCAGCATCATAGCCTTGACATGTTTGCGAGAGAATTGAAAATCAGTGTTTGCAGACTTCATGATTTCCAACAAGGTATCAACAAAATCTTTGGTTTTGTTAGTGATGCCTTTGCTTGCAGCCTCTTCGTGCTCTTCCACAATCCTCTCCATGAATTGATCAGTGAGCTTGCCCACCGCCTTCATCCGCCGAGTGAACCCTTGAACATCAAGCTTGCCCAGAAAAGGAAAGTAGTCCCCAAGATTGGGGACGGCGGCCAGATAAACAATTTCATGAATCAAAGCCTTAAACCCCATCTCCCCAAAATCCTGATTCTTGTACGTCTTCCCAAACACCATCCGACAACTCATGTCCATGCTCATGGAAGAAATGGTGGTACTCAAATCAACAGCTTTGCCGTTCTGGGCTGCCTGCTTGAAGGAATCTACGACAAGACCCAACTCTTCTCTTCTCATAGATTGAAAAGAATTGATCTTGAGATTGCTGAGGAGCTCTAAGGTGCAGAGCTTTCGCATGTTGCGCCAAAACGGACCGTATGGCCCGAACGCCAAATCCCTTTGCTCATAGGCTATATAGTTGGCAGCTTGGTTTGGTGGCCGGCTGGCGAAATTGAGGTCGTGTGTCTTCAGAAACCGCTCGGCCGCTTGAGGTGATGATACGATGATGTTGTCGGTCAGCCCTAGTCGTAGGTACATCATAGGACCGTAGGTTTTGGAGAGTTTTTGCATATCTTGGTGGGGGTTCTTCCCCAGCAAATGGAGATGTCCCAATATTGGCAGCCCTTTGGGACCTGGTGGCAACCTTTTCCTTTTGTTGTTCCTAAATAATAACTCGTACACAGCAATGGCTGCAGCCAGCACTGCTGCAAAGCCTGCCCAAATCCAGGCCGTAGTGTTCATCATCATGGTTTTAATTTGGTTTCTTGACAGAGACGATATGATGATGAACACAAATTTGATTGCTTGATTGGTTAATGATGTTTTTGTTGTTGTGTTGGATCACATCAGTGCATGCTTCCATGCTTATATAATGGACTCTCTTGTCTTGTGGTCATAATCACTTTAAAATCCCAGCACCATTTCTTTGACTCAACTGTACAGCTGTCTGATACAATAATAATATTTTATTTGTTCGCAATAATAAAGTCAAGCTGTATAACATTGTAATAAGGAGATCAGATTTCTCTTTCTTGTTTGTTTCTAGATCGATAGCCTAAACGAAAATGCATGCTTCCTGTTGGGCGGAGGCGGCAGAGTACAGTTGAGTTTAGCATATTGCTATCTAAATGTAGTATTGAATTTAAACATGTATAAGAAAATAAAGTTATCAATTTATTATTAAATATAACTTTTGGCATAATGACAAAAGCTTGATCTTGAGAACGTGATTCTGAAGACTATTTTTATAGCATTTTAAAATCCTTTCTTGACGTTACTAAGTTAAAAGAACCCATTAAATGAAAATGATGTGAAGATGAGTTTATGGATGACAATTTTAATCCGCCTCCTACATATCCACCTGGGTGGATAAGGTTTTTTTAGGTGATATTGGATGGTAAGTCTTAGAAAGTTAAATCTATAGTGGGTTCAGTCCGAGGCGAGATTGTTAGAAAATTGTTAATATTCCTTTAGGGCAAGTTTGGTTCGCGGAAAATATTTTTAGGGAAGTAGAATTGAAATTTCATGGAAAAACAATTACTAGGAAGATGAATTTCATTGTTTGGTTGGTGGAAAAAGATTTACTAGGAATACTAATTCTATTGTTTGGTTAGATTTGGAATTGTAAGGAATAACGAGTATAAAGACTTATATGCCCTTACAAATTAATAAAAGTAATATAATTAAAAAAAAGTAAACAAGAGTAAAATAGCATTCCATCTCACTTTTTCTTCCCATCTTCCATGGAAAACAAAATCCTTTTCCTCAAATTTGAGGAATTCATTTTCCAATGGAAAATGAATTCCATGAACCAAACACAAGAAAATAACATTTTCCTCAACTTTAAGGAAAATGTTAATAAAAGTAATATAATTAAAAAAAAGTAAACAAGGGTAAAATAGCATTCCATCTCACTTTTTCTTCCCATCTTCCATGGAAAACAAAATCCTTTTCCTCAAATTTGAGGAATTCATTTTCCAATGGAAAATGAATTCCATGAACCAAACACAAGAAAATAACATTTTCCTCCACTTTAAGGAAAATGTTTTCCTTTGAAAAATATTTTCCATGAACCAAACATCCCCTTAGAGTAATTCTGTATTTGTGTTGTAATGAAACTACGGTGTATATGAAATGAAACTGAATAACAGTTTCACATATTTGAGTGTATATTGTCCAATGAAACTGTAGTTATATCAAAATAATACTGTAGTTGTGTTCTAATGAAACTACATTGTATATAAAATAAATGAAACTGAATAACAATTTCACATATTTGAGTGTATATTGTCCAATGAAATCATAGTTGGATTACAATAATTATAATTTAATGGTGTTGTAATAAGACTACAATGTGTATAAAATGAAATTCAATAACATGTCTCACTGTAATAAGACTATTGTATGTATAATGTCGAATGAAACTGTAGTTGGAACAAAATGAAACTGTACTTGTGCTAAAATGAAGCTACAATGTATATAAAATGAAACTGAATATGTTATACAAGCAGAGCTACATACGCAAAACGGGTACCGTTTTCTTTTCATTAAAAGAAATTAAACGACACCGTTTTGGACCATGGTCCACTGTATAATTTACCCCTGGGATTGTGAATTTAACCCTTTGGGGAAGAAAAACAAATTAAATTCTCCTATGAGACCATTTCATGGATCATCATTCATGAAACGGGTCGGGTTTTTTTTTAATAAATATTATATTTTCCCCACATAAGTATTACAATTTTTATCATAAATAACTCTTCAACTCCTTTCAAAAAAAAAATAAAGAATCTTCAACTCTTAATATTACATTTTGATTAAAAAGCATTACATTTTTCATCAAAAGTATCACATTTTTAGTCAAGTATTACACTTTCTCTCATAAATAACAATTAATCAATTTATCCATGAATATTATTACATTTTTCTCATAAGTAACTATTCAACCATAAATATTATATTTTAATTTAAAAATATTACATATTTCCTTATAAATAACTAATACGGGACGGATTCTCTCTCTAGGGTTCCTAGGGTTTCCTCACGCTCTCTAGGGTTTCTAGGGTTTCCGATCGGTTTCTTCACCTTTATCCGGCGTTCGCCGGCGTTTTTGCTATCAGTGATGGACGAAGCCGACGTTAGGGGGGTAGCGCAAGCAGTTTCGGTGGAGGCAGTGGACGAGTTGGCGGAGAGTTGGGCGGAGATGGTCTTGGAGGGGGAGGCGGAGGAGTTTGCCCCGGCCGGAGATGATGTGGGGGGGGGGGGGGGGGGTCGAGGTGGACGGGGAGAAATCGTGGGCTATTGTAGGCCGGTTTCTCACGGCAAAGGCGATCAAGCTTGAGTTCATGCGACAGGTTATGGCATCCGTGTGGCAACCGGTGCGAGGGGTTCAGGTAACTGAGATTCAACCGGGGCTTTTCTTGTTTGTGTTTTATCATGACACGGATGTTGAGTATGTGTTGGATGGGGGGCCATGGGCGTTTGAGAACAACATGCTTGTTTGTCGAGAAGTTGTGGGGGGGATGAGCCCGAGTGATGTGCCGTTGAATACGGTAGATATGTGGGTTCAATTGCATGATTTACCGATGGGTTATACGTCGCAGAAAGTTCTTGAACAAGCAGGTAATTTTATTGGCAAGTTCGTTAAGCATGATGACCGATTTGTTGGGGCTCCATGGTTAACTTTTTATCGTATTCGGGTTTCGATTGCGGTAAACAAGCCATTGAGAAGGGGTATGAAGCTTCTTAAAAGAGACAAGACTACATGTTGGGTTTCTTTTAAGTATGAACGACTCCACAAATTTTGTTTCTTTTGTGGACTCATGGGGCATGTCCATACTTTCTGCTTGAAGGCCCGGGAGAGTCGGGTGCCGGTCGACAAGCTCCCGTACGGTGCTGAATTGAGGGCAGGAGGCAGTCGGGGTCCGGCAAGAGGGGTGGGCGAGAGTTGGCTTATACCGGTGGGGGGGAAACCGTTGCCGATGCCGGTGTCGGAGCTGGAGAGTGACGAGGGGGATGGAAGGAGGCCGGGGGAAAGCCGTAGGGGTGGTGGGGGTTCGGGTAGTGCTGTGCCGAGGGGTAGTGAAGTGGTGGCAACCGGGAAACGCCACAGGGAGGGGCAACAAGGATGTGTTGGGTCGGAGGATGGAGATGTGGCAATGAATGATGTTTCAAAAAACTTGTGCATAGCGGGAGCTGTTACTCAGCCCCGCCCGTCATCATGAGTACGCTCAGCTGGAACTGTCGTGGCTTGGGCAATCCACGAACAGTTCGACAGGTGGTGGACATTGTGTCCCGTAAGAAGCCTGAGTTTGTATTTCTAATGGAGACTATGGTGGCACGGATACATGCAGAAAGGCTCCGTGTCACACTTGGGTACGAGGGATTGTTTTATGTCGATAATGATGGTTTGAGTGGTTGTATGGCTCTGTTTTGGAGGAAGAATAATTCGGCAACATTGTTGAGTTATTCTACAAATCATGTTGATGTGGAGGTAAGGGCTCAGAACGGAAAACAATGGCGAATGACATGCTTCTATGGACATTCTGATCGTGGTAGGAGATGGGAGTCCTGGGATTTGTTACAGAGTTTGAAGGCTAGGTCTTTGTTGCCCTGGGTGGTTATTGGGGATCTTAATAATCTGCTGTTCCAGCACGAGAAGAGAGGGGGGAATCCATACCCGAATTATCTCTTACGAGGCTTTGGTGAGACTCTGGACGCTTGTGGTTTAATGCAGTTACCTATGAGGGGCCATCAGTTTACTTGGGAAAAAAGTAAGGGAACGGAGAATTGGATTGAGGAAAGGCTCGACAAGGTTTTAGCGACAACTGATTGGTGTGGGCTAAATGACAATGCGGAGGTGGATAATATTATAGCTCGACCCTCGGATCACACGGCTCTCTTCCTTAGTGTGGACGCGCCATGCGTACGTGGGGGAGGGTTGCACGGGGTTTTAGGTTTGAGATGGCGTGGTTGCAGGATGAGGGGTGTAGGGAGGTGGTGGCAGAGGCATGGGAAGGGGGGAGGATTGAGGGGTTGCTGAATTGTCAGCAGCGATGTGGGGAAAGGCTGATGAAGTGGGGTGGTGAGAGTTTTCACAAGTTTGGGGAGCAAATAGGGCAGTTGAAGAAGAGACAGGGGGATATCAGGAATAGGAGGGACCCGGCTGCATTGGCCGAGTTTCATCAAATTGAAGTGCTCTTAGCCCAGCTGGAGGTGCAGGAGGATGTGTTCTGGAGACAGAGGGCGAAGCAGCATTGGCTTCGTGGTGCGGATGCGAATACAAGATTTTATCACAGGTATGCTTCTGCTCGTAAAAAAAAGAATACTGTGAATAGAATTTTGAATAATGATGGTATATGGGTGGAGGGAAATGATATGTGCTCTGTTATACTTGACTATTTTCGACAAATTTATGAAACTGAGAATACTGCCTATGATGATGTTCTGTTTGATGATTTTGAGCCGCGAGTAACTGTTGATTAGAATGAATCTTTATTGCGTCCATTTGGACCAGAAGATGTGAAAGAGGCAATAAATTCTATGTATCCGGACAAGGCACCTGGCCCGGATGGAATGAATCCAGGTTTCTATCAGCACTTCTGGGATGTAGTAGGGGGGATGTGTCTGAGTTTATAATATCCTGCTTGAATACAGGCAATCTCCCAAAGGGCCTCAATGATACTAATGTTGTTTTAATCCCCAAGAAGAACGTACCAGAAAGGGTGGCTGATATGAGGCCGATTGCTCTCAGTAATGTTATATACAGGGTAATGGCCAAGATGATAACGAATAGGATGAAACCACTTATGGGGGATCTAATATCGGAGTCCCAGAGTGCGTTTATTCCAGGGCGTTTGATCACGGATAATATCCTTGTTGCGGCAGAGGTGGGCCATTACTTGAATAGAAAGCAGTCTGGTCTAACAGGATGGAGTGCCCTAAAGCTTGACATGTCGAAGGCATATGACAGGATGGAATGGTCGTTCTTGAAAAGAATGCTGTGTGCTATGGGTTTTAATCAGCGGTGGGTGAATCTGATTATGCATTGTGTCACAACTGTGAGATATACGATTATGGTCAATGGAGCACCTGGTGGACAGGTAATGCCTACCCGCGGGCTCAGGCAAGGGGATCCCCTATCTCCCTATTTGTTTATCATATGTGCTGAGGGTCTCTCCATGCTATTACAGAAAGCACAGAAGAATGGAGAAATACATGGCTGTAGGGTGGCGAGAGGTGCACCCCCCGTTTCCCATATATTTTTCGCAGATGATAGCCTACTATTTTTTAAAGCAAATATGGAGGAGGCAGGTGTGATCAAGCGATGCTTGCGCCAGTATGAAGAGTTGTCTGGTCAAAAGGTTAATTATGATAAGTCTAATATATGTTTTAGCAGGAATACCCAGGAAGAAATAAGGGGGGAAGTGGCGACATGTTTAGGAGTCAACCAGGCGGCAAATTTTGGAAAATATTTGGGGCTCCCATCATTTATAGGCAGAAATAAGAGAGCTGTTTTTTCCTACGTGGAGGACAAGATCAGACAAAGGATTGGTTCATGGAGTAAAAAGTTACTTACTCAGGCTGGTAAGGAGGTGCTCTTAAAAAGTGTGGCTCAATCTATGCCAACCTTTTCTATGAGTGTTTTTTTGTTACCTGAGACAGTGTGCACATCTATTGAGAGAACCATGAATAGATACTGGTGGGGGTCAGGGACTGAAAGGAAAATTCATTGGAAAGCTTGGGATAAGTTGTGCATCCCTAAGAAATATGGGGGTTTGGGATTTAAAGATTTACGGGCCTTTAACTTGGCTATGTTGGGAAAACAGGCATGGCGTTTTCTCATAAATCCCAATGCTTTAGCAGCAAGGATCTATAAAGCCAGGTATTATCCGAATACTTCTTTTATTGATGCTACTATAGGGAATTGCCCAAGTTTTTGCTGGAGAAGTATAATGGCTGCGCATGGAATGGTTTGTTCCGGGGTGAGAAGGCGGATAGGGAATGGTGCAAAAACTTTAATATGGGGTCACCCCTGGTTACCGGATAATCCCAGTCCGTTAGTCCAGACAGAAATGCCGGAGGAGTTGCGACATGCCCAGGTGGCAGGATTGATTGATCAGCAAACTAGTACCTGGGACCCGCATATTTTGGCTGATCTATTTATTCCCGAGGATGTGGCACGAATTTCTATGATTCCTGTCAGCCCTGACTATGAGGACACATGGTATTGGAAGGGGGAGATGAGTGGAATATATTCGGTTAAAAATGCCTATAGACAGATTCAAGGGAATTATGAGCATAACCCATGTGATTTTGATAAATGGGTTACTTTGTGGAAATTAAGGATACCACCCAAATGGAAGACCTTTTTGTGGAGAGCAGTTTCTGATATCCTCCCTACTACCGATAATCTAATAAGGAGGCGAGTTGAGATTGAGCCGAATTGCCCAATGTGCCGTGCGACGCAAGAAAAAGCCATGCACGCATTAATACTGTGTTATTATTCTAGATTAGTATGGGAATTGTCGGGATTGCCTGTTACTAATATTCTTACTAATTCATTATCAGCATGGCTTATGGGGATTTTTAATGTCTTGACAGAGGAACAGTGTGGTCTAGCTACGGCTATTCTATACAATATTTGGAGTGCCCGAAATACTGCGGTATGGGACCATGCCCTCCCGAGACCAAATCAGACTTGGCACCGATCGGTGGCAGCCGTCCACGCCTATCGCCAAACACGGCCCACGGTCTCCACCTCACTGCCCGCCACGGCAGCCGAAGTCGGAGCTGGCAGCGCTCCACGGTGTTACGTCGATGCGGGGTACAGATCACATACCGGGGAGGCGACTTATGGAGCAGTACTCATCTCACACCATGGCGTGTTTATTGCAGCAGCAAGTGGAAAGATCTCCGGAGCTCTCTCAGCTACTATGGCCGAAGCGCTCGCTTGTAAGGAGGTATTATCTTGGCTTAAAAATCGGGATATTACGGAGGTGGACATATTAACGGATTGCTTGGAGTTCCGGAATTATCTACACTCAAGCCGTGCGGCTAACTACTCTTACCTTGGGATCATCATCGACCAATGTAGGACCGCTATATCGCTATTTGCAAAATGTTCTTTGAGTTATGTTTCTAGAAATTTAAATTTACATGCCCATACATTAGCTTCGTTAGCATTCGATCAGGAGCATTCTATGTACTGAGACTCTGTCCCTCCTGACTCTATTATTCAGTTTATTCATTAATATACAGCAGTATAAACCTTAAAAAAAAAAAAAAAAAAACTAATACGGAGTAATTTGTTCCTAATTAATATTATATTTTTTTTGAAAGCCAACCAACTTATAATGCATTAGCCATTCCAGGCTCAAGAAAAGAAGGAGGTAAATCCCTCCAGACAGTTCGCGCCAAAGAGGCATTTACATGCTTAGCCATGACATGGGCATCCTGTAATCCTCCCCTACGAACATGAATAACAACTGATCTAGTCATAGCAGACAACAAACGATTGTAATCTAACAAAACATTACCAAAATAAGTACGGAACGATCTTGCATGCTTAAGACTGGAAACTAAAACAAGACTATCGGAGCACACTGAAATCCTCGAGTATCCATTCTCCCTTAGCCATGATAAAACCTCACCCATAGCCATTGCTTCCGCCAAGAGGGGGTCATATGGGCAAATAAGAGGGCCATTCCCTGCCGCCACAAAGGTTCCATCTTTCTCATGCACTACAAAACCGTAAGCCAGTGCCTGTGTCGGACCATTGAAGCCTACATCAACATGACAGACCACACCATCATCTAACACTGTTGCTGTACTGGCGGGTTCATGGGCTCTGGGTGTGATTCGCCGTTGCTGTTCAACAGTAGTCCACGAGTTCCACTTCACTGTGAGCCTCCTTACCACCACGCCTGGCATTGGCAAACAACCATCCCAAACCGCCTCATTCCTGGCAGTCCAAATGTCGTATAACAAGCAACAAATCCTCCCCCGTTGTTCTGCATTATAGATACTCGTGCAGCCAAGCCAAAGATCAGTCCACTGGCTGAAATTCCTGTTGTCAAAAGTAGGGATTAGCAGATGAGAGAAATTCCACACCTGTGATGCAAAAGAGCAAGTACATAAAGCATGCATGATATTTTCCTCCTCCAAACCACATGCTGGGCAAATATTAATCATCTCAACTCTTCTATTAATCAAATTATCAAGAGTGGGCAAAATATCAGACAAAGCTCTCCACATAAATATTCTCCATCTTGGGGGGACCTGTAAACTCCACAAATTACTCCACGCAGGCAAACACGGGCCATTGACCTCTCCCATCCTCCTGTAACCATCTTTAACCGAGTAGCAACCCCTCAGATCCCTGTCCCAAAACCAGTCATCATCACAATTCAAACACACAGGAAGCTGCTTAATCAACATAACATCACGTGGGGCAAACAACTCAACTAGCAGGTCATTATTCCAACCGCTCGTGGTACTGTCAATCAAGTCCGAAACCAGAAGCTCCTGCCCCAGACCTGGATGGGTCGAGGCTACATATGGATCAACAACATCGGGCAACCACAGATGATTAATTACCCTTGTGGACCTTCCGTTACCAATCCTACACCTACAACCAGACTTTAGCAATGCCTGCCCTGCTAATATACTCCTCCACGCATAACTCGGGTTACCACCAACCGTGGCTTCATTTAAAGAGGATGAAGGATAGTACCTGGCTTTATACACGCGAGCCACAAGGGATTCCGGACTGGTTAATAGCCGCCACCCCTGCTTAGCTAACAGAGCAATATTAAACTCATGTAAACGTTTAAAACCCATACCTCCAAACTTCTTAGGGACGCACATTCGGTCCCAGGACATCCAGTGAATACTATTCTGTGAGCCACTCTGTCCCCACCAGTACCTGTTCATCAACCTTTCAAGAGCAATACACAAAGACATAGGAAGTAAATAAATACTCATTGTGTAGGTGGGCATTGCCTGCGCTACACTCTTCAGGAGCACCTCTTTCCTAGCCTTAGACAGCAACTTCTTGTTCCATGATCCGAACCTCTGCCTCAATTTTTGCTCTACATATGCAAATATCGTTCTCTTATTACGGCCAACAACCGAAGGCAAACCAAGATATTTCCCGAAATCATCCGCTTGGCCCATCCCCAATGCATCTGCAAACAGGTCCCTTAACCCCACCTGCGTATTACGACTAAACGTAATGCTTGATTTCTGGAAATTTACCGCCTGCCCAGAGAAAGCCTCATAAATCCCCAGACATTTCTTTACCTCCAGAGCTTCCTGCATATTAGCCTTAAAGAAAAGTAAGCTATCGTCTGCAAAAAACAGATGTGAGATAGATGGAGCCCCCCTAGCCACTCTGCACCCATGTAAAAGGCCTTTAGCCTGAGAATCCTGCAACAACAACGATAAGCCCTCAGCACAAATTATAAAAAGATAAGGAGACAATGGATCTCCTTGTCTCAGCCCCCTCGTGGGCACTATTTCCTCTGTTGGCTTTCCATTGACTAGTATCCTATAATGTACCGTCCGCACACATAACATTACCAACTGGACCCATCTATCATCAAAACCCAAGCCAGTCATCATCCGTTGCACAAAAGGCCACTCCATCCTGTCATAGGCTTTCGCCATATCAAGTTTCAAGGCTGCCCACCCAACCTGCCCCAACTGTTTCCTCCTCAAATAATGGCCAACCTCAGACACAATAAGTATATTGTCTGAAATCAACCTACCTGGTAAAAATGCACTTTGCGAAATAGAAATCAAACCCTCAAGTAATGGTTTCATACGATTTGCAATCATCTTCGCCATGATCTTATACAACACATTACACAAAGCTATCGGCCTTAAATCAGATACAGACACAGGGGAGCATTTCTTCGGGATCAAAACAATATTAGCATCATTCAAATTTGTAGGAAAATACTTCTCAGACAAGCAATTAAGCACAAAATCAGAAACATCGTTACCTATGACATCCCAGAAGGCCTAATAGAAGCCCGGATTCATGCCATCCGGTCCTGGAGATTTATCCTTGCCCATAGAAAATAGAGCACTCCGCACCTCCTCCGGCTCAAAGGGGCGCAGCAAATCATCATTCTGTTCTCTGGTCACACAAGGCTGCAAGGTATCAACATTAAAAACCCCTGGATTCCCCCCTGAGGAGAAAATCTGCTTATAATAGTCTGTGACTACTGCATCCAAGGCAATGCCCTCCCTCCAAACACCATCCCCATCCTTCAGTCTCTGAACCACATTTTTCTTCTTCCGGTACGTGACATACTTGTGAAAGAACTTTGTATTTCTGTCAGCCCCCTGAAGCCAGTGCTGCTTAGCACGTTGCCTCCAGAAAACCTCCTCCTGAGCTAGCACCACACTCAACTGCTCATCAAGCTGCCTAAACTGTGCCAAAGAAGCTGGATCCCGACTACCCCGTAAAGCATTCATCTCCTTTTTAATCCCTTCTACCCGTTTCCCATACTTATGATGGCGATCCCCTCCCCACCTCCTCAAGCCTCGGCCACACACGCCAAGCCTTGCCTGCAAAGCCAAACCCGGAGTATTAGACCATTCCCTCTCCACCACCTCCCAGCAACCACCATCCAGCAACCAACCATGCATTCTCAAACCGGAAACCCCGGGGCCTCACCACATGATCCACCCCTCCTATATCCAGAAACAAAGCAGAATGATCTGACAAGTCAGTCCGGATATTAAAGGCCCTCGCCCTATCATTGGCCTGTAACCAGTCCATATTCGCAACCACTCTATCCAGACGCTCCTCCACCCAGCGAGCAGTCCCCTTACCACGCTCCCACGTGTAAGGATACCCAATCATATGCAGTGTCATCAAACCGCAGTCATCTAGGACCTCAGCAAACCCCTCAATTAAACCAACAGGATGCGACAGCCTCCCCCTTTTCTCCGACTGCATCAATAGATCATTGAAATCTCCCAAGACTACCCACGGTAGGTCAGAAACCCCCTTGAGTGAACGTAGAAAATCTCATACAGCCCTCCTCCTATCCCTCTGTGGATAACCATAATAACAAGTTAACCTCCACAATGGCTTATCAGGCAAAGAAATCTCCAGATCAATATGAATAGTCGACATAAATATTACATTTTAATTATGACTCGATGACTTGTCTCATAGATAAAGATTCATTAGCGGTCTCCAATGAGACTCAATCTCTAAACAAATATTGATATATCTTTTAAAAAAAATAATGTTAAGTTATTAGTCATATAACTATTAAATATGAGGGCTAGCTGCGCTCTGGCTATTGTTTAAGGATAAAAAGTTGAATGAATTCAGATATAATTATATTTGTAATTTGTTGGATAAGCAATTACATAAAATAATATTTGAAGAGATATTTTATGAAATCACAGAGAAGTTGCATCCAGCAGTGATTACAGACGCCATGGCTGAGTAGTAAATTAAAGGTTAGCGATTTTGGCATGGCGGCCGCTAACATTTTATTGAATTTCCAGTCATTATAATAATACTTAATTATATTATATTCCGTCACCCACAATTGAATTCTCCCACATACGTGCCTGATATTCTACAACGGAGTAATAATATATACAAAATGTCAACTTTGTTCAATTTTGCCATGGAATTTTGAGTTTGGTCGGGCTTTTTGTACGTAAATGTGTATCATTTTGTGTAAAAATTTTAAAACTAGATTGCATCAATTTATCTTTTCATAGGTTTTGGTGATACGTTTATGGGATCTAAGGATATAGTATGATGAAGCAAAAAATTTAGGTTATCAAAATAAAAAATGAAAAATTTATCAACTTTATTGAACACACCGAGAGGGGTGGCTGAGTAGTGAGCTGAGGTATGTTTCTCGTACTTAAAGGTCATGTGTTCATTCTTATCAACACCCTCTTGGTCAAACCTATCACCTATGATCTTTTTAATGCAGTTTGCATCTCCATTCTATTACAAACGTTAATAGGGGCGGAGCCAGAAAAATAAAGTTGAGGGTGGGACAAAAGTGTAGAAAAAATTTACAATGTTAGTCGTCATAGAACGAATCGTACCATATCATTATATATACCATACATTTGAAATATATAATTATATGAGTACGATCGACACGGGGTGTTGATCGATCATTACTTTAGAATTTTTCATAACTCAAAATATATGTAATGATAACAGATATTTACATTTATTTAATATATATATATTGTCACTTTTTATAAAATGAAAAGTTTTGTCAGTTATTTTGTCACTAAATATTTTCATAATTAACTGATATTTATTTTACTGATTAACTAAATATTTTAACATTTGAGGGATGAAGAACAAATCAAAGGTCACGAATTAAAGAATCAATATTAATTTTTATCAATTTAAAATTAAAACAAATCCTTTAAACTAACAAATATACATCTTAAAATGTAAACAAAATAATAAAAACACACAATAAATTACTAATTAATTAATCACCGTAATTAATAAAACTAAAGCATATATTTCAAATTTAGAGATTTTTCAAATTAAATTGAATACTTGATGCATTCCATTATTAAAATATTAACAAAATAAATAAGCTAATAAAAATGGTAAATTTAATTATTTGATTTATTTCTTTTTATTTAATGAATTTGAACTAATATATATTTTGAGTTTATTTAATATAAACATAATAAATTTAAAAAAAAATATAGAGGGGCCAAAAGTATATATATTGAATCCCTATTATATTAATTAATAAATAACACACACACACACACACACACACACACACACACACACACACACACACACACACACACACACACACATATATATATATATATATATATATATATATATATATATATATATATATATATACAAAAAAAAAAAAAAAAAAAAAAAAAAAAAGGTTGAAGTAAGGGGGTGGGGCTCCCCTTCTAATTACAAAGGAGTTGGTTTTATTCAATGTACATCGTTAACTAAATATTTTTGTGTCCTGTTATGATATTTTTTATACTTACAAAATAACGTATGGCTTCTTGATGGTATAATTTGATGCTCTAGAGTCTAGACCTCTTTCAACAAAGATATAAAAAATACCTTTTTAAATTTAATTCATGGCTTAAAAAGTGACAAGTATTGACATTTGAGTGATCAGTGTGGCATGTGAATCATGTGATGCTGCGAATTTCAGTCTTCGATTAGACTATTCATGCCATGACCGTCGACAATGAGATAATTAATTCGGAGTTGAAATGTCTAACAACGTGCCTATTATTATATTAGTAAATTATTCGTGTGATATACAATTTTTTTAATTATATATTTAAATAATAAAATAGAATATAAAATTATAAACAATTCAAATATTTGAAATTATACATTTATTTAATTATATGATTAGTATAAAAATATATTTATTTGATTATAAGATTAGTGTAAAAGTATCACCTAATTAATTAAATGATATATGATTCGATTGTTTGCATTTATTTTGAAAAAATTGATATTGTCATATAATTTTGACAATTATATTATTAATAAAATAAATATGAAAAAAAAAAGAAAATAATTTTAAAAAGACATGCATTAAGCTATGAAAAAAAATTGGAATCAAACTCTATTTTAATGTTGTTTTAAATTACCTGATTTAGAAATGTTTTATTTCCACATATGATTTAGGTAATTTTTTATTGCAAAATAAATATGTTTCGAAGGGAAAAAAAATTATGCTGTAGTCTGGAATTAAAAAATAATTGGAATCAAAACATGAAATTTTTTTTTTTTTTTAAAGCAAAGAGCTCATATATTAAACAGTAGGCCGGAAAAAGGTGTTCAATACACGGAGAAATAACTGAAATCCAAATAGAGGAATCAGATTGAGAATTTGCTGCCCTAGCAAGAGAATGGGCAAGCACATTCGTTGATCGAAGAATAAAATACAAAGACACGGATTCAAACTTTCAAAGTGCTTTGCAAGCTTACGACAACCTTCAATAACAATTACTACTCTAGTAAATTTGTGTTAGAAAGTAAAAAAGATATAACATTTAATAACAATTATAATATAAAAATATGATAATATAATAAAGTCAAATTTTTACAAATTTTGAAAAACTTTTTTGTATACAATGTTTGCTATTGAAGTTGTTTTGTTGCTTTCTCTGACACAAATCAATATTTTTAACTCATTTGGAGTAGTGATCATATTGTTGAAAATGCAAAATATAAATTTTTTCATGACTAAAGACATGTTTTTTCAAGAATAGGCATACGTGAGAAAGCGATTGATCCTTACTCTTATTAATCATAGGAGAAAATTAAAGGGAATTATCTTCTTTGAAATTTGAAAGAGAACCTCAAGTCCGATGGAGTTAATGATATTCTTGGTATCAGTACTTTCTCACATGCACTGCATCCAGACATTTCCTTCCAGAACAGTTCGAAGTTTAGTAATAATCATCTTTGTGCCATTACATAAATCAATTGAGTGGTCAATATTTCTCGAAATATATGTTTTATATATTAGTCTCAAAATCAATTAGATACACATTATATTTGATGGATTTAATTAACCCGGGGTGACTCGAATTATTAAATCCGGATAAGATTATATATGGAATAAATAAATGTAACACGAGGATATCGTAAGGTCGCAAGGACCATAGGTCGCGGGGACCGTAAATTGTATTAAATATCGCTAATAAGCTATTACAAGGCTTGATTAAGACAATGATAGCTATAAAGTAATAGTTTAGGAATGAAGTGTCCTTGTTAGGACAAGATCGGGGCTTTTATATCAACCAAACCCCAACCGCACCCCCAAAACCGGGGGTGGTTAGATCGGCCCGCTTTGACCGCGTCCCCTCCGGGATCGGGTCCAAAGTAAGGCGACTCGGCATGGCCGAGCTGGGCATGTGCCGAGCTCGGCCTAGCCGAGTCCACCATGGACCGACTCGGCAGTAGCCGAGGTCCATGGTGACGAGCTCGGGTACACCGAGCTCGTCCGTGGCTGGGCTCGGCCCACGGCCGAGCTGCTTGGGCCGACCCGGCCACGACCCAAGGGGTTGGGCTGAGGCGTCTCGGGTCGCGGCGACTTGGGTCCGTCTCTCCGGGTCGGTTCGTTCCGGGTCCAATATATCCATCAATATTAGAAAAAGTATTAAAAACGGCCTAATAAAATTATTAAAAAACGGCCTAATAAAAGTATTAAAAAACAGCCAAATAATTATAGTAAATTAATGCCAAAAAAATTATTCTTTAATAATAATTATAATAATATTATACTTTAAGTATGTAAAAATATATATAAATTACCATAATAATTACACGGAAGAGTGAATGAGAATTCCTATATAAAAAAAAAAAAAGACAATTATATTAATAATTAATTATTAAATAAGTATAATTTATTTTGTACAAATAATATTTTACTTTTTTGGGAAAGAAATAATATTATACCTTTAAGTATAAAAATATGTATATATAAATTATCATAATAATTACACGGAATAATGCCAAAAACACCATGGAGATTGGAGTCTACACTGGTTACTCTCTTCTCGCCACTGCCCTTGCTCTCCCTCATGATGGGCAAGTTTTTGGCAATGAATATCAACCGCGAAAACTACGAGTTGGGTCTCCAGTTGATCCAAAAGGCAGGCGTAACTCACAAGATTGAATTCAAGGCAGGCCATGCACTTCCTATTCTTGATCAAATGATCCAAGATGTAAGTTTCACCATTTTTCTAACATGGTTGCCTCCCTCTTCATCCACAGTAGAAGGAGGTGGAGGCAGCCACTTCTTCAATAAATTTAAAAAAAAAAAATTTCTTTTAATTTTTAAAAATAATAATTAAAATAAAAAAGGACCTGCTTTTGTTTTTTCTATAAAATACATGCCAAAGGTCTTTACTCTTTACGAGGTTGCTTCTATGCTACTAAACTCTTAATTTATTATTTTAAGTAGAAAAGAATAAAGGAAATTAATGTATAAAATACATGCATATTGAAGATTAAGCCGCCCAGAATTTATTGAGGCAACGGTATGTTGGAACAGACATCAAATATTTATCTCTGCTTATTACAAGACCGAATGATTCAGTCATGTCTAGGTCTTCTGGTAGCATTTTATTTGGTAGAGTCCTAATTACAAAGGAGTTACGCTTATTCAATGTACATTCTTAATTAAATATTTTTGTGTCTGCTATGATATTTCTTAAACTAGCAAACTAATGTGTCGCTTCTTGATGTATAATGTTGAATTTGATGCTCTGGACCTCCTTCAACAAAGATATAAAAATTAATTTTTTAAAATTTAATTCATGGCTTAACAAGTGACAAGTATTGACATTTGAGTGATAACTGTGGGCTGTGGCATGTGACGCTGAGATTTGTCTTTTGTTAAATTTTTCATGCCATGACTGTCGATAGTGAGATAATTAATTCAGAGTTGAAATGTCTAACAACGTGCCTATTTTTATTGTACCTTTCGATCCTAGTTAACAACGTGCCTATTCTTATACTAACTCTAGTAAATTATTTGTGCGACGGATAAATTTTTTAATTAAATATTTAGATAATAAAATTAAAAATAAAATTATAAATAATTCTAATATTTGAAAGTATATATGTATTGAATTATAAGATAAAGTGTAAAAGTATATGACTCGATTGTCTGCATTTATCTTGTAAAAAGTGATATTGTCATATAATTCAGAAAATTATATAATTATTAAAATAAATATAGAAAAAAAGGAAAAATAATTTTAAAAGACATTAAGCTATGAAAAAAATTTGGAATCAAACTCTATTTTAATGTTATTTTAAAGGGAGAATCGCACTTTTCGTCCCTCAATTAGTGCCCATTCTGCAATGTCACTCTTAGTTTTCAATTTGAACACATTTGGTCTCTCAATTATTTCACCATTAAGCATATTTGATCCTTCTGTCTGTTACTCCATTTAACACCGGGTATACTTGGAATTTCACATAGCATGGTTTATAATAAGTGTATTTCCTCCCCTTCCTCCGCCGATCTGCCATTTCTGCCACCAAAATTCCGGGGTTGACGTTATCCATCTCGGCGATCTGATCCGATCATCCTCTTCAAAGAAAGCACCAGATTATTAACATTATGAGAATTATTTAAACAAAACTTATGCTACTATTAGGATCACTTAATGTCATGGCCGATTGAGACCTTTGGCCACCAGTATTAGCAAGATTACCACTATCATTAGCAGTCAAATTAGACACATCATTTGTGAATCTAACCGTAGTCCCAGTATTAGCATCAACATAGTTACTAAGGTGTTGGCAAACTACTTTGAGAAACAAGAGTAAAACCATTTTGAGCATAATGATTTCTACTAGCAATCCCATTCCCATGACCAACCGTAGTAGTAACTGCACCAAAAACCATGGCCCTTTGACCAACACTTAGAGAATTATCAAACACACCACTGCGGGCAGAAATAGAAGCAGAGTGACGAAGGGAATGAGGAACCTTACCTAGCAGAGCCACAGACTCCTTCATTGATGTGGTAGCAGAAGACTTAGCCATAGTTTGACCATCACGAGACCAATATGGCTTGGACCTCTGCCTTCTCTGTTTTCGTCGATGCACCGCCATGCCAGCTACATTCGCCACCTTCTCACCGGAATCCCACCAGCCAGCGACGAGGGTGCAGGAGCCGAAGACACACTAGTACAAAATTGAACATAGAAGATTGACCATAGACCACCATTGTTGAAAGAATGGTTGCCTAATCTTAGCCCAAAAATTCACGGTGACAATTTTGTACATAAGTGATCAATAATCCACCACCATTGTTAGCTGCAATGGTTGCCCATTGTATTTTGTATTTATTTAAAAAAAATTAATTTATAATAGGCAACCATTTCTAATAGAAATGGTTGCCTTAAAATTAACCCTAGATCTACCAGCCCATCATCGAATCAGATCAGAACGAGCGCCACTCCATCGATCTCATACTCTCAGCTCGCTGATCTGCTCCCATCCGACCGAGGCTCCGTTCCAAACGCCGCTGCTCTCGCCCGGCGACCCACCGCCACCACGCCATTGGCGGCGACCACGTCCACTGTCGCACGCCCCCACCACAGAGGATGGCTGCACTCTTGCAGACTACAATATTCAACGACTCTGTGTGTCTGTGTCCAACTCTCATCCCCGGCTAACCCTCACTACGGACGCCTACTCAGCTACTCCGGCGAGTCCAGGGGCAACGGAAAGCTGCTTGGCATCCAGCGACTGGCGTCTCGGCGATTCCTACGAGCCTAGGGGCGACGGTAGAAGTTGTTCGACATCCGGCAACCGGTGTCTCGGCGAGTTGGTGACTTGGCTTCTCCCTTCTCGGCAAACAAGCTGTTTGGACTTCGGAGTGTTTGTCACGGTCAAAAGCTACCGTCAAAATATGTAGGTTGAATTGAAAATTAAGGTGTAGATGCTTATTTTATGCTCCGTTTGAAATTTAAGAAGTTGATGGCAGCAATTGGATCTATTGCAGGTTTATTTGTGTGAAAAACTGTTGGTAGTCAATTTCTCCATTACATTAAAACGTGCTCCATTGGCTTATTAGTGATTATAATGCTCGCCCCTAGACAAACTCTCGAGTAAATTTATTTATTTATTGGTATTCCTGAAAGCTCAAAATGAGTACCTCAAGAGAAGAATCTCCAGATTGGCTTCGTTCTTTCAAGGTAAATGTATTGATTTTCTTTTATAATCTTTTCCACTTAGAATTTTGTTACTTTTTCTGCTAGAGCTGAAATATCTGTTACAGAGCTAATAATGGCATTTGAATGTACTGTTTACCTCAAACTTCAGTTGTATTTTAAGGAGTTGGCTTATAGATGATTTGCCTTTCATTTTGCCCTATAAAAAACGTGATCTAGCTCAAATTATATAGCATCCAGAGTTGGGTTATTTTATATTCTTTGATTCAGTACTGAAATGTTTGGTGATGCAATGTGATTAGTTTGGTTGATGATTTATTTGGTTATGTGAATTGAGTAGATGCATATGTTTGGCTTGGATATAGTGAAGCGTGATGTTGATATTGTTGATGGTAATTGAGAATTTTAATGCTAAAACAGGCACCTAGTCCTGTAGCATTATCGTCGGATTTAGAGTCCCCTTCAAATGATAGTCCTCTTAGTGATGATGAGGACGGAATGAGTCTCGGGAAATTGTTTTCCAAAGATAAATCCAATATAATTGAGACTAAAAACAATTTGGATGGGAATGACTTGCTGGTTTACACGCCTTCTAAAGAAAAGTCTCCTGCTAAGAAGGCAAGAGTGGAGCATTCACCAGGTGGAAAGAGGAAGAGAGAAAGTCAGTGTGAAAATGAAGTTGTGTGGGAATTATCTTAGTTCTCTTAGTTCCAGAATTTGGATTTTTTTTTTTTGAAAAGCCATTTACTTTTTTAATCTTACTTGGATGGATTAATTGACCTCTTCATTCTCAATGTTACAAGACAGCATTGCTGCAGAATTTTTGGATAGGCTCGTAAAATGGACCGAAAACATTAAAATTTCAGATCCCTTGGAGGATGATTGTAAACTCGGTCCACTTGTTAGTCAAGGACAAGTAAGAAACCTACTTGGCTACTTTTAGATTGCAGAAGTTACTTCTTGTAAGTTTCCATGGTAACTACTGTATATATTAATCTCTCCCTAAGACTGATGAGAAGGGAATCATTTCTAAATTTGTTTTTTGTATTATTTTATACTTACTGAAAATTTTATGTACTTTACAGTATGAAAAGGTGATGAAATGCATCTCAACAGCCAGAAGTGAAGGTGCAACCATTTTGTATGGTGGCCAGCGTCCTGAGGTAGAAGTTTATAGTAACATTTAACCATGGATTTTTTTTAATTAATCTTCATGGTCATGAACTTTATTCACAATTGAATTGCAGCATTTGAAAAAGGGGTATTACATTGAACCAACCATCATAACTGACGTAAATACGAACATGCAAATCTGGAGAGAGGAAGTATTTGGGCCCGTTCTTTGTGTCAAGACATTTAAAACTGAAGTTGAAGCCATTGAGCTAGCAAATGACACCCAGTAAGTCTCTCACCAATTGGCGTTAATGACAGTATAATAGGATCAACACTTGTTTATGTTGCAAATAAATCTGAACTTTCTTTCCCCTTCTTCCAATGGGTAATTTTCCATAGATATGGTTTGGGTGCTGCGGTCTTGTCAAAAGATCTCGCAAGATGCGAGCGATTGACAAAGGTAAGAGTTCTTTCTCAGCTCCATCCTCATTTAAAAAACCAATCATTATCCTGGAGAATGTCACGTTTATAATTTGAATCGCCCTGAAATGTGCAGGCTTTCCAGTCAGGTATAGTCTGGATCAACTGCTCACAGCCATGCTTTTGGCAACCTCCTTGGGGAGGAAAGAAGCGTAGTGGTTTTGGTCGTGAACTAGGGGAATGATAATCTGAAACTAATCCTTTTTCTTTCTGCATTTAACAGTTTTTATCCTATCAGAAACAATAACTAGAAAGAAGAGAAAATATAATGCATGCATATATATAGAGGATGAAGAAAGCAATGAAGTGTTGTTGTTTGCAGGGGACTAGAAAACTACTTGAACATCAATCAGGTTACACAGTACGTGTCGGATGAGGCTTGGGGTTTTTACAAGTCTCCTTCAAAGCTGTGAAAAGAGACAAGACATGAACAACTTCTGCTGTCTGTCTGTTACAGTGGAACACCATGAAACTACCAACACATATGTTGTTGTATTCTATTCTCTCATAGTAATTTAGAATTATAAATTTGTAATTTAATTTATTGTTTTTACAAATACTGTAGTAATTTCATAATGGTTGTGTGGGAATTGCACATGAATATATAGTATTAAAACTATTTTATTATTTTTTTTTATTTTTTTAAAACAGTAACAATAGGCGACCATTCCTATCCAAGAATCGTCGCGCATTACATTTGATTAAAAAAAAAAAAAACAATACCCGACCATTCTTGGTCAAGAATGGTCGCGTAGTACATTTGAATAAAAAAAAATAAGAAAACAATACGCGACCATTCTTGGTCAAGAATGGTCGCGTATTACCAACAATGCGCAACCATTTCACAATGGTCGCGTAAAGTCGATGCTTTTCCGCGAGCCTCTCATAGGCAAACATTGTACAATAATTGCCTAATGTCTTTTACAATGGTTGCGTATGTGCAGTTTTGTACTAGTGACAAGTCCTCCTCCACCACCATCATATCAGACGAGACCTAGTTCTCGCCCCCTTCGTAGGGATTCGGCCACCACCAACAGATACGATGAGTCCAGTATATGGCCGAGAAGGCAGTGCACTAGCCTCCGCTTCTCCCGCCACCAAAGGCACGGCAAGACCACCCCTCTCTATTACGAGACCACCAGGTGCAGTCGCGACCAACAAAGCGCAGGAAGCTGGGGTAAGACCATCGCTTGGGAGCCTTCAAATTGATTCCAAGTCAGATGAAACAGCAGCCGCCGCCACCCCGAGACCAATGCCACCAATCGTTCTGGACTCCTCAAGTCGCCGGAGACTCGCTGACAACAATCCAAATTCTAAAAATTCCGGCGATCGCCGATTTACAATCTGAGCAGCCGGGGTTGATCGAGACGCGTCCCTGGCCTCATCCATGGCTTCCGATCGTCCATGCAAGGACTCAAACACCGGAGAACTGGAGAAGCCTCTAAGATGGGTTCTAGATCGCGACACAAGACTTCGCAAAAGGTTGTTGATAATGAAATTGTTGATCGCGACAAGGACTCAAACAATGCATTGTGAAATTCCAAGTATACCCCTGATTTAAGCGGCGTTAAACGGAGTAATAGACAGAAGGACCAAATCTGCTTAATGGTAGAATAATTGAGGGACCAAATGTGTTCAAATTGGGAACTAAGGATGACATTGCAGAATGGGCACTAATTGAGGGACCAGAAGTGCGATTTTTCTTTATTTTAAATTACTTGATTTAGAACTGTTTTAATTTGTTGCTATATATGATTTAGGTAATTTTTTATTGAAAAATAAATATTGACCCTTACTCTTATTAATCGTTATTGCATGGGAGACAATTAAAGAGAATTGTCTTAATTGAAATTTAAAAGGCAACCTCAAGTCCTATGGAGTAAATGACATTCTTGGTATCAATCTATCCGCCCTTAAGTGGTATTACCAGCCATTCTGGTGGAGCAGTTGATTCTCTGCTTCCAAACAATACCTTTGCTTTCAGAACTTGATTTTCAAGTTTAGTAATGACCATCCTTGTGCCCTTACATAAACTAATTAAGTGATCAATGTTTCTCAAAATATATGATTTATATATTAGTCTTGAAATCAATTTAATACAAATTATATTAGGAAAAGTATTTTAAAAAATGGTTTCAAGTAGAAAAGTATACAAATTACATGAAGGATATGGTGTTCAAATGCTACTAAACTCTTTATTTATTATTTCAGGTAGAAAAACATAGAAAAAAATAATGTATAAAATACATATGCAAATTGAATAATAAGTCGCTCAAAGTTTACTGAGGCAAGCGGTATGTTGGAATGGCCATCAAATGTTTGTCTCTGCTTATTACAAGACCGAATGATTCAGTCATGTCTAGGTCTTTTGGAAGCATCTTATTTGGTAGAGTCCAGTCAAAGCAATGCACTAATTGTGCCACCACATGTCGAACTACGGTAATTCCAAGTTGTAAGCCGGGACAACTTCTCCTTCCTGAACCAAACGGGATTAACTCAAAATCCCTACCTCTATAATCAACACGGCTTTTACTAAACCTTTCTGGAATGAACTTTTCTGGATTGCTCCACACATTCGGATCACGTCCAATTGCCCAAGCATTCACCATTACTCTTGTGTTTTTAGGTACATGAAAGTCATCAACTACACAATCATCCATTGCTATATGAGGGAGAAGTAACGGCACCACTGGGTGAAGCCTGAGTGATTCTTTTACGACCATTTCTAGATATTCCAACCCCTCAAGATCTGCCTCCTCCACCATCCTATCATATCCAACTTTTTCAGCTACTTCATCCCTCACTTTTTTCATTATTTCAGGATGTCTAAAAAGTTCAGACATGGTCCATTCTATTACCGTGGAAGACGTGTCCATTGAAGTTACAAGTATATCCTACATACCATTAAAACAACCAAAATTCAATGAGAAAGGGTATGAACTAATGAAAGAATCAACTAATTAAGCTAAATTAATATATATATAGATGTGTGAATGGATGAAGGAATTATATATATAGTTACATACCAGCATCATAGCCTTGACATGCTTGCGAGAGAATTGAAAGTCAGTGTTTGCAGACTTCATGATTTCCAGCAAGGTATCAACAAAATCTTTGGTTTTGTGAGTGATGCCTTTGCTTGCAGCCTCTTCGTGCTCTTCCACAATCGTCTCCATGAATTGGTCGGTGAGCTTTCCCACAGCCTTCATCCGCCGAGTGAACCCTTGAACATCAAGCTTGCCCAGAAAAGGAAAGTAGTCCCCTAGATTGGGGACGGCGGCCAGATAAACAATTTCATGAATCAAAGCCTTAAACCCCATCTCCCCAAAGTCCTGATTCTTGTACTTTTTCCCAAACACCATCCGACAACTCATGTCCATGCTCATGGAAGAAATGGTGGTACTCAAATCAACCGCCTCGCCTTGTTGTGCTGCCTGCTTGAAGGAATCTACGACAAGACCCAACTCTTCTCTTCTCATGGATTGAAAGGAATTGATCTTGAGATTGCTGAGGAGCTCTAAGGTGCAGAGCTTTCGCATGTTGCGCCAAAACGGACCGTATGGCCCGAACGCCAAATCCCTTTGCTCATAGGCTATGTAGTTGGCAGCTTGGTTTGGTGGCCGGCTGGCGAAATTGAGGTCGTGTGTCTTGAGAAACCGCTCGGCCGCTTGAGGTGATGATACGATGATGTTGTCGGTCAGCCCTAGTCGTAGGTACATCATAGGACCGTAGGTTTTGGAGAGTTTTTGCATATCTTGGTGGGGGTTTTTCCCCAGCAAATGGAGGTGTCCCAATATTGGAAGCCCTTTGGGACCTGGTGGCAACCTTTTCCTTTTGTTGTTCGTAAATGCCTCGTACACAACAATGGCTGCCACCACTGCTGCAAAGCCTGCCCAAATCCAGGCGGCCGTGTTCATCATCATCATTGTTTTGATGGTTTCTTGACACAGACGATATGATCGACGAACACAGGTTTGATTGGTGAATTGGTTAATGATGTTTTTGTTGTTGTGTTGGATTACATCAATGCATGCTTCCATGCTTATATAATGGACTCTCTTGTCTTGTGGTCACAAACTCACAATCACTTTAACATCAACAGATTCAACTCCCAGCACCATTTCTCTGACTCAACTGTACAGCTGTCTTCTTCAAAAATTTATAATATTTATTTGCAAATAATTTATTCCTAATTAATGTTATATTTTTCAACATAGATATTATATTTTGATTATAACCTGATGACTTGTCTCATAGATAAGGATTCATAAGCGGTCTCTGGTGAGACTCACTCTCTAAACAAATATTGTTATATCTTTAAAAAAAAAATGTTAAGTTATTAGTCATATAACTACAAAATTTGAGGGCTAGCTGCGCTCTGGCTATTGTTGATAAAAAGTTGAATGAATTCAAATATAATTATATTTTTAAATATGTTGGATAAGCAATTATATTTCATAAAATAATGAATTGAAGAGAGATTTTATGAAGTCACAGAGAAGTTGCATCCAGCAGTGATTACAGACGCCAAGGCGGAATAGTAAATTAAAGGTTACTGATTTTGACATGGCGGCCGCTAACATCTTCTTGAATTATTATTCCTGTAGACAATGAGAGTTAATTGTATTATATTCCGCCCCCCACAATTGAATTCTCCGACTACATATATACGTGCCTGATATTCTACTAATAATATATACAAAATTTCAACTTTGTTCAATTTTGAATTATGAGTTTGGTTCGACTTTTTATATGTAAAAGTGTATATATCCTTTGATGTACTGTTAAGTTTTCAAAACTAAATTGTATCAATTTATCTTTTTATGAATTTTGATGACACCTTTATGGGGTCTAAGGATATAGAGTACAATGAAGCGGAAAATTTTAATTAAGTTATCAAAAATAAAAGAATTGTCAACTTTATTGCACCGAATTGAAAGAGGTAGCTGAGTAGGTGAGGTATGTTTTCCGTACTTAAAGATCATGTGTTCATTCTTGTCAACACTTTCTTGATCAAACCTGTCAAGCATGGTCTTTTTAATGCAGTTTGCCTCTCCATCCTATTACAAACGTTAATAGAGGCGGAGCTAGAAAAATCAAGTTAGAGGTGGGAGGACAAAATTCTAGAAAAAATTTACAAGGTTAATTAGTCGATATGAGAATGAACCGTACCATATCATTATATATACCATACATTTAAAATATATAATTATATGAGTACGATCCACATGGGCTGTTGAGTTTAGTTTATCAAAGCACATCTTCAACTAAATATTTTTGTGTCTTGTTATGATATTTGTTATACTTGCATAACAATGTGTCACTTCTTAATGGCACAATGCTGAATTTGATATTCTAGATCTCCTTTCGCAAAGATATAGAAATTACTTTTTAAAATTTAATTCATGGCTTAAAAAGTGAAAAGTATTGACATTTGAGTGGTTACTGTGGCATGTGATGCTGCGAATTTCAGTCTTTTATTAGAC